AAAGAGACGATATTGTTCCCTTATTGTCTATACTTTATTGAAAAAATGGTGCAAATCTTAATCCTAATGAATCTCACCCAACCAAACATTGGCTTCTTCTGTTACATTTGACCTTTATTTTACTACTTGAATCAGAAATCCACATTGCCATCTCTACCTGCCAACCAGACATATATAGGTTTCTCTTTTCTTTTCTTTTTCTTGATATACATACACATAAGTTTCTCTATACTTCAAGAATGGTACAATTCTATAACTAGATAGATACTCATACAATTTATGGATTATTTTGATAAATTATATAATATAAATTTTTGGTAAATTCATTAAATAAATACACATTTAAATAATTTTAATTAATTATCTTATCTTCACATAAAATAATAATAATACTTCTTATTCTTATGTGACATTCAAAAATCCTTCCATTAAGAAACAACGTCTTAATACCGAAACGATTTTTAGAATTCTTGTAATTTGAAAATAAAGGAATATTTACTTTTGTTTACATGGAATAAAGACAATAAAAATAATTATCATATATAATAAAAAAAACTGAAAATGAAAGAATATGAATATGTTACGATAAGAATATATAAATATAATATTAGAATATATATATATATATATATAATATATAATATATAACTGAGTCTAGTTAAATAAAGGGTCTAAAGGGGTGTATTTAATTGAGATTTCATAAGATAATTCTTAACATAAAAAAGTATTGTGAATTTTAATAGATTTTAAAAGATTTCATAGAAATATCATGATTTTTAGAAATTTTTTTAAAAGACTTTTAAAATTTAGATTTTAATCAAGACTTTGTAATTTAGATTTTAATAAATTTTAATAAATTTTGATAGATTTATATTATAAGACTTTAGGGAATTTATGAATTTCACATAAAAACATGAATTTGTAATATTACAAGATTTAATAATAAAAAAAACATAAATAATAAAGAAAAGTAAAATCGATATATTTTTTTTATCTTTTTGACAAATAATTATCTTTATCTTTTGAAAAATAATCCACTTTAATTTTGTTTTAACTAACATTGTTTTACATATATAAATTTATACTAGTCATTCATGCATTAACATATTCTCTTTCATGTATCGATATTCTTTGCAAAGAAAATTATGTAATGTTATATACTAATACAAGTTCAACTTTTGATTTAAATATATATAGAAGTCATGATTTAAAAATTATGAAGTATGATTTAAAAAATACTTAATATCTTTTCAATCACATTTTTTCTTAAGGATGTATGATATAAATTGAAAAGTTTATTTTTCATTTTGAAGATCATTATCATGACTTATAAAGTTTTTTTAATATATGTCTCAAAAATTTATATTTTAATATTAAATTTTATTTAAAAAATTTAATTTTAATAATTTAAAAATTTTAACAATAGATAATATTTAATAATATAAAAATCACTGTAAATATTTAATAATTAAAAAAATACTGATATATTATATATCAATTGATAGATAAAAAATAAAGGAGAAGAAGAAAAAGAAGAAGAGATAAATGAGAGAGATGAATAAAAAGAGAAAGAGAAAAGAGAGAGAAAGAGGAAGAGAAATAAGAAAGGTGAGAGAAAAAGAGAAAAAAAAAAGAATATAAGATGAAGAAGAAGAAGAAAAATAAAAGAGAAGAATAAAAATATGAGATAAAGAATAAAAGAAGGGAGAGAAGTTGAGAGAAAAAAAGAATGCTGAGAGAGAGGCAAGAAAGACAAGAGAAAATATTTAAGAGACAAAAAAAAAGAATAAAAGTAAAAGAAGAAAAAAAGTCATTCAAAATCTTAAAAATTTTAATAAGATTATTTTATGAGTGAATTACATATAACTTATACTAAAATGTCTTATAAAATTTATTATTCAAATTAATCTATAAATCTTTATATTTTTAAATATCAAACAATTTTTTTAAGTAAAAAATTAATTGTTATAAGATTTTAGCATACTCTTAAAAAAAACATGATTGTCTTTAATTAAATATCACCAAATTTTTACAAACTCTTAAGAAAAGTCTTAATTATCTTAAAATTTATTGAAATTCTAATTCAATACACCCTTAAATGTCAGTTACATTTTTTAAATAATGTAAATATAAAAAATAGAAATCTAATAATGATAAGTGATCATATAAATTATAAAATTTTATAATAACAAATAATATATATTTTAATTCTATTAATTTTGTCAATATACTTACATATTTTTTAATACATTAATATATTTACATTAGAATTAAGTGATTTTTTAATATAATTTTATTAATAATTTTATAATTTGTATTTTTGCTTAATTTTTTTGAAAAAAAATTCATTTAAATTTTAAATATCATATTATTAGTAATTAATATTATTGACATCAATAACTATATGTATAAAAAAATATCAATACCTATTAACTAATGAAACGTAAATTTATTAGTTAGTATTATTATTAATTTACTTGAATTTTAAATTTAATAACTATTAATTAATATATTTTATTAATTTATTTAGTTTATTTGCTAATAAATTTTATATTTTCATATATTTACTTAGTTTTAGTAATTATTTAGCATCAACTTATTTTATAATAATACTTATATATAGAAAAATTTTGAAAAAAAAAAGATATATGTCAGAAGTTATTTCCTTTATATTATTTATACAACATTTTATTTTATAATAATATCTATATTAATATAAATAGAAAATATTTTTTCTATAATCATTTTTCGTCTTCATAATTTATGAAAATGATTATATTCTCAATTATTAAAAAAGAGAATAAATAATTATAATAGTCATCATTAATCAACTTTAAATGATTGTTCGTACTATTATATTTTTTATTTTATTTTTAATAATATTTAGAAGTGCCTCTTTATGTATAAAAATATTTAATACTTAATATAGTATGGATTATGTGTATGGCGGTTAGCTAGGGTGAAACTTCCTTAGTGGAAAAGCAGCTTAATTTAGAAGTGCCTCTTGTTTCTTCCTTAGCGTAAAATGCCAAACGTTTTTCCTTATGAAACACGCTCGTCCCACACCAACCAACCCTTTTCCCTTCCCAAGTCACTCACTCGTACTCCTCAATTCCTCATCATAACCAGCTTCATCTTCATTCACTACTCATTCTAGTTGCAAAATAACAACTCTATAAAATAACATCTTTTTTCGTTTGCCCTTCATAAAACAGTTGTGTTACTGCTTCTTAATTATTCGCTTCTTAGCTCTAGTTAAGAACAATAAACTCCCACTACACTAGTGCATTTCCTTTCTCTTATAGTTACTACACATAGGAATTCATTGCTTATTGCCTTTGGTGGACAACAACGCCAGCTAATTATAACTCCAGCTGCCAAGTAAGTGTATGTTTGGATTTGGGAGTGTTCAAAATTACTTTCATTCTCAAAAATCAAAATAATGAATTTTATTTCCTTCTTCAAACTTTCATTCAAACCTTAGCCTAATTGCATGTCTTGACCATATATAACTATGCAGGCACTATGTTGGAGGGACATCAACTTTTGGGGTTTGGGTTCTTTGTAATTGGTCTATGGCACTTGTTCAACCACACCAAGCTCCATGCACTTGGTTCCAAGTCCTACACATCAACCCTATGGTTTCCCACCACAATATCAAGATACATGGAGCTCCACTTCATCATGGCAAGCTGCACAATCTTCATTGCCATGGAACTCTTCATCGCTCCCATTCACCACCAACCCTTCGACCCCGATGGAACCATTCCCACCACTCATCTCCACAACTTCGAACACTCCTCCATGGCCATGTCCTTCCTGGTCTACGCCATCTTCGCCATAGTTCTTGACATGAAGTGCACCATGGCACAACACGAGCTAACTCATTTTCTAGGAGCCATAGCTTTCACTCAACAGTTTCTCCTCATCCACCTTCACTCTAGAGACCACGTGGGACCAGAAGGCCAATACCACCTTTTGTTGCAACTTTTGATCACTGTTTCTTTGGCTACGACCCTCATGGGAATTGGCTTTCCTAAGAGCTTCTTGGTATGCTTCGTGCGTTCTGTGAGCATAGTGTTCCAAGGTGTGTGGCTTATGATAATGGGGTTTCTGCTTTGGACGCCAGGGTTTCAACCCAAAGGTTGCTTCATGCACCTTGAGGAGACTGAGGAATATGTGGTGAAATGCAGTGATGATGAGGCACTTCATCGTGCTGTTTCATTGGTGAACATTCTATTCAGCTTCTTGGTGATTGGAGTCACCGTTTTTGCAATGTCTTTCTACTTGGTTATGTTGAGGAGATATGGTGGAAAAGTGGAGTATGTTTCGCTGGTAAAGGAGGAACACTACCGGGAAGAAGATGGCTTTGTGAAACCCAAAGGCACTATCGATCTGGAAAATAACATGGACGACGATGAATCGCAAAAGAAAAGCATGCAAGAGTAGATTTAAAGCACCTTGTAAAACGTAAAGGCACTGTCGGAGTAAACTCTTTGTTATAATTATTAAGATAATTATTATGAAAATTAAAAAAAAATACATATTGTACACCATAGTTTGTAATTAGATGGGATAAAAATTAAATTTATCTTTCTCCTCTTGATCGATAAAGCACTAAGTAAATATTTAAAGCTCACTAACCAAATGTATCTTTTATTATTACTTAAAACCTACGGAAATCGACAAATTAAAGATACATTCGGGTGGTTTTCAATTTTAACTTAAAAATTTTTTTAGAAAGTATTTACAATCAGTTTTTAGATTTTAGTTTATTTTTGGTTAAATTAATTTAAATGAGTTTGTATGGTAGACATGTCGATAATATTGATAATGATAGTTATATCGGTATGAATAGTAGCGGTAGAGATAAAAGAGATGGTTGAGCCATGATGCCTGGTAATATAAATGTGTACCATTTTGCTTTTGGTTAGGATTGTATAAAGGGTATTTAAAAGCCACAAGTTCATTTCATTAATAAATATGATGTCATTCCCACATTCTTGCTTCTTTTACTTAGTTCAAGTTCTTTGGTCTCAACATCGCCATCGGCATGTCAGGTCGCATTCCACTAGAGTTCGTCATGCTCCATCTCATTCAGCAGTCCACTTTATGAAGTTAGTCTACATCATTTACAATGACCAGTTTTCTTGACGACGAAGGGTGAGTCATGGTTGGCTGCTAAATGGTGTTTGGCAGTAACTTCAGACGAATAAACAGGTGAATGGAAAAGATGAAGAAAGAAAGATAAGAGAAAACAGAGAGAGAGAGAGAGGTGACAAAAAGATGAAGGTGAAGTGAGCGGACAACAGAGTGGATTACGTTACAATTCATTGGCTGAAAACTACGGTGAAAGAAGATGGTAGAGCGGAAGGTATGAAGAGACATTCACAAGAAAAACTAGAAAAAAAATAAAAATGAAACCAGATGCTATTAAGCAGGTTTTTATTTTTTTAAAACAATATTCAAATAGGTCAAGTTGCCTCCAATTCTTGTTTTTTCTAACACTATGTCTATGTTTTACAATAAAAATAAAAAGAGGAAAAGAACAATATCAATATTGAAATTGTAGTCATTATCGATGTCTTCAAACAACTCTCTTTATCCAGGCAACTTGAGTTGACAAAATTTCCATATAAAAACATGTTGTAGCACAGTTAAGATAACCACAGGGGAGGGAAGATTGTTTTGTGAAGTAGGAAATAGAATAAAATCATAATGAACACAGAAATCATGTAGGAAATGAGGCAAAATTCATGTTTCCATTTTTTAGCTTTCACGTCTGATTTAACGGATGATCAGTCAGTTCAAGGTATCCATACATACCATTGGCATCACGTATTCGTTCCATAATTAGTTTACAGGTATTCATTTCATAGGCAACACGTACTCATTTCATAATGTGGTAGCAGTAAAGCTACCATATTTAAAATTGAGATATGACTTCTTGGTGATCTCGAGCTCACTGGCGATTTGGTACAAGAACCCTTAGATTGGCTTATTTTACAAGTAAAAGTCGTTCCTTCAGTAACTATCAATATCTGTCTCTGGCGTCCGCAGGTAATAACGCAGACAATTCACCAAAACCTGTTCATTCAAAATCACAAATAAGAGTTTGTTGTGCAATTAAATTCAGTAGAATGACTTGGTGTGGGATAAAAGGCAAGGCAACTTATTGAAAATCAAGATTCTAAATTGTGATTTTGTCCTAGTTATATTGAAGAAAATTGCCCACAAATGCAGTTGATGCAACATAATTTGCAGTTAAAATTGCAGTCTCAGTGTTTTTTAAGACCTTACTTAAAATCAATGCAATAATTAAACAAACAATTAATTCCCAAAATAGATAGCATCTACTATAATTGTGTTTCTTTGAAGATAAGGATTACCTGAGACATCGAACTGCTCAATGCTGCCCCGCCATAACTGACATGAAATTTATCCTTAGCAATCAAACCCTGAGAAAAGGGGGATAAAGTTACTTAAGGTTACTTGAGGCAAACATAGGTGGACAGAGATAAAGAGGAAGATACTTCTGTATCAATCTCAGCTGATTCAACATCAATGTTCACATCTGCAATGACTTTGATGATTTCAACAAGCAATCCCGGCCTGTCTGCTGTCTCTATATACAGCAAGCTGATAAATATTGAATTAAAAAGCATTAGATGACATAATGCACCTATTGCATACTGGGTTGTTTACGATGCTAATTAGTCATGATTTGGTGTCCAATGTAAGTAATAAAAAGCTCAAAAACTACAATATCCTCTCGTTATAAGATGCAAACCTCCTCTTGGGCCCATCTTCCTTAACTTGTATATGAGTTGTGATACGATCATCAAGCTGCACAAAACAGCAACATTAAAGTTGATATTCGCAAGACTAAGACTATGCATTGGACCGATTAAATCCTTTCATTGAATTGAGTACTTGTAACATGCAAAATCTGATAGTACCAAGCTTTCTTTAGGGTTTTAAAGAGTGGCCTAAGGAGTTAGAACACGTTAGAGAATAAAAACAGAAACTAACAGAAAAACTACAAACATTTAATCTTTTAAAAATCTTAAAAGCATTTAATGTTTTCCTTTTGTTAAGTAATTAATAAAAAAAATTTAGTGATAAAAGCTATTTTTATCCCATCAAATGTTGACAAAACCCCTTTTTCTATATAAAAAGAAAGAACCAAGCATATTTTTGTACAAGTCCAATCTATTTACAACGTGACAAAATCTATGCGCCAAAAATCAAGATAGAAACAAGATCTAGAAGTCGACAAAAACCTAAGTGTCACATATTATTTAACTTCTTCATTCCAGCATACCAATTTTGCAGCCCCAACATAGTTCATCTAGTAATAATGTCTGTAAATAATTAAACATAGAAACGCATATATAGAAAGCTATAGTGGCCAAGGAATCTGATAAGTCAAGACTGAAAGAAGTAATCAGGTAATGTCTTGGACGAGATTGCAGTAGAGAAACCTAAATGTTTTTCCAATGCAGGCATTCTCACTTTTTCAAATTGAAAGAGGCACACAAACACAGAAATAAGCATAGTTGGTCTGTGTTCCGTATAATGTTCAGTCTCTAGGTGGTCAAAATTAGGAGGTAGCTCCCAATAGTTTTAATAATTTAACTACAAAAATCACCAAATAATCAAATGAGAAAAGAAAAAGCATTGTTCACTGCCTTAAAATAAAACGACAACAACATTCTAATTATTTTTCAGAAGAAATGTTAACACCAAATTTGGCAGAGCCGTCTACTGGGAAATGAAATGCCAACAAAGGATGCTTGAATAATTCAAATATAATGTCACAGTTTAGTTTGAGGCCTAAAAGTTCACCAAGGCACACAAAACTTTGGACTACCAAATAAATTAGAAAATGTTTTATAAATATTTCCAACCTTAATGGTAAAGGAAAACAAATATCAAAACGGAGGTCTTCCTCAAAAAAGTAATGTTTATTTTAAACAAGAAACAAAAATAAAATGAAAGAAAAACTGGAAGAGTACAATTCACCTTCTTCTTCGGAGCCTTTAAGCCAAACACTTCACCCATTGCTAGTAGTTCACTGGATTCCTACACAAATTTTATAAAATGTGAGTAGGAAAAACTAAAAAAGCAAACTGAAGAGTTGCAAAAAGTACCAGGAAAATTGTGTTTATAAGAAATTGTTAATTACAAGGAAGCTTATATATAAAGTAACCATCTCAGAAATCCAGAGGAAAGTATCAACAAAACTTACAGGGTGATATTTCAACAGATTGTTAATAATGGTAAGTCGAATTCTTTCTAACATATCAGGATCTTCAACTTTGCGCCCAGTATCTCTGTGATAATATGAACAACAAATAAATTTGTAAAGACTAAAATTCTTTAATGAAGTAGTGAAAACAAAATAGACAAACAATGATCAGTGAATTGTTATATCTTAGCTCCATATATTCAAGGTACCTCATTCAAGTACATCAAAACTAGCATAACATATACTTTTGAAAATATGAAAAATAAGAATAATTTTATCATCTTATTATTGTTCAATTTTTACCATACTTGGCATGAATAATCTAGGTAACATATAGTTATAATTCAATATTTAGATCGACAAAAATCACACTTTATACAAAGTTATTGATGGTGGAAGAATAAGTGCAACTTACACCACAAGTATCAAAAGAACATATCCTCTTATCTGAATTCTAAGAGAGATAATTGAATTTAGCAACACCAAAAGAAACTGCATTTCAGAGAATCCCTGACATGCAGATTTCTAAATAAGTGAAAAATCTGGGAAGCAGCAGAGTGAGATGAAGAATGAAACTAAATTACAGGAACATTGGGCAAACTAGAGATATAATGAAAAAAATAAAGTCTAGGGAATGCATCAAGGAGGATCCTCCCAAAATTTAAACCATCACCCAAAGCCAAGGAAATATGAGATCTAAAAGAAGCATAACCTTGAGATATATATTTCCAGGGGCTACCATACGAAGCATTAACCACAGAATTCCCATCCCTCCCATCAGAATGCTAACAACACTTTGGATAACTTGATGTCATAGAGAACTGTTCCATGGAGGAAAAAGCCATGTTGGCTGTCAAAGCAGTTAAGTTCTACAACAAATTTCCCAACTAAACCACAGACTAAAAAGTATCCCACATAAGCTTCTCAATTCTTTGAGCCACAGCCACCAAAATACAGGGAGAGAGAGATAATACAAAGGGAAACTAGATAAGGGCGAGTTAGGGATATGTGACCACCTAAGGAAAAGAAAGCACCTTCCCAACTATCTAACCTCAAGGAAATCTTTCCAATGACTGGACCTGAGGAAAGTTCTTCTCAAGTACAAGTATTGAAGTATGGATAAGAACATGGAGTGATCCATTGTGAGTTACAGGATGATCCTCCTGAGTCCAGGCACATTTCCATGGAGAGAGTATGACAATGATTCACAGATAAAGGGGAACTTCAGTTGAAGGCAAAAAAGACTGGCCCATATCTTAATTTATCAAAGAATGACAATAATTATCAGTTTAAGAACAAATTCACCCATGTTCTTCGGAAAATGGTATTCAAGAAAGAACAGTGGTAAAGAAAATGGAGGAAAACGACAAAGAAGACTTACGACTGTGTAATGAAAAATTTCGTTTGCTTGACTAATCCCTCTGTGGAGACAGTACCCTTCAAAACATCCAATCCCAAATCTTTTAATGCCTTCATCTGCCTTGATATGAACAAACAAAGATCAATTATTGACAATATTTATAAAATGATGCAGGCAGAGAAAATAAGCTCAAGACTATAACAAAATTTTATATAAATGATGCCTTTTTGTGACATAGCAAGAACAGTGATCTGGTACCTGAACATGCTCTTTTACAACATAATAATCTCAAACTACAAGTTGTTGATTGTCAGCCTTCCCACATTCATGACACTTCCAATTTTTTTCTTTCTTTAAAAACTAAACTATAATGGATTATAAAGACTGCTCTGTACTTTTCAGGTGAATTTTATATAACAAGGAGAAATGAGCCAATGAGGCTCATTCACTGAGGGAGCCATGACATAAGGAAGAAAAGGAGGATAAGAAAGGCAAAAGAAAGCCACTCCAAAGACAACATAAATTATCATCAAATTATATTTGCTTTATCAGGTGTACTTGGTTTAATAGATCCGAAGATGTATAATGAGGAAACGTAATAAAATAAAGCAAAACCTTAGGACCTTCATGAATTGAATAAATCTTCTCTAACAAACACATGGTGAGGGCATCACTTAAATAACAACATCACAGTTAAAAGATGACCCATCAAAGAGATCCAACTGGTTTGAAATATACTGGAGATTGCATAATTAAGTTTCCAATAACCAAACTCACCGTGTCAATAAGTGCTCCAAGGCGATCACCAAAGCTTAGCTGCACAATTGTTGCTTCAGAATCTGAGTCTTGATCAATCAGAACTATTGGCATAGGAACAGCATCAGGATTGTCACCAGATTTCTGCACAGTAAGGATTAATCAATCAAACATCTCAAAAAATATATGTACATAAAAGCATGGCATACAAAATCCAGAGGACATATGCAAGGAATAATTAACAAAAGCTCAGATTCTTGGCAAATACATTTGTCAATTATAGAAGCCACTATCAGACCGGCACAAACACACCACTGCACACACACAAGGTGAATGTAATAAAACATTAATTTATAAAATACACAGGTGTTACAGATGCAATGGTACTGTACCATACTGCAGTAGTACATCTAGTCCAGTAAATATTAATAATCCACATTTGACAAAATTTTCCCAGAAAAAAAAATGCTGCAGACCTGCATATCACATTCTACATAACATAAAATGTTTATGAGACAAAGATGATCATCACAAGATTATGACCAACAAAATGTCAACTGATTGAAGGATTGATAAAGGGAAGACTACAGGAAAGATAATCTGTCATAAGCTATTATGGAGAGCTTATTGAAATAATAAGCAGCTTGTGAACATATCATAAGTTCTCTGAAACACTTACACAGTGCTTTTGATACAAGTTTAGTCCAAATAAATTGTGAAAAAGCTCTTCCAAATGAACCCTTAGCCCCAAACTAATTTTTTTCCTCCTTCAATAGTCCCTCAATTTTATTTTATTTTTTTGCAATTATGTCCCTCATCGATCAAAATTTTGCAATGTATGGATAAACAAAGATTCTAAATCTCAAATAACAAATCCATGCTTATTACTCCTACTTTTCAAGCGCAAAATAAAAAATGGTATTCATGAATGACATGGTGTCAAGAAGCACATCACTGACCGCTGAAGCTGAATGAACTGCATTCAAATCATAAGCAGAAGCATATAGAACGTTCCTGCATAACATTTCAACCAGTAGTAAGAGACAATTCATATAGATACATCATGGTGACTCCATTAAAGAATATTAAAGTTGCAGTTGGGTTCACAAGCAACTAGAATTTTAGAGGTACCTTTGACTCACTCAAATAAGATTTAAAAAACAGATTTAATACCTTTGACTCACTCAAATAATACCATCCATTTTTCAGCATATGCAAATGAAATGAATAAGGGAAGGGATCAACCACAACAATGCATCGAGATAACCACTTTGGAGCTACCAAACCTATACTATTTAGCGTTTACCATCAATAGGAGTAAATGTCCTTTAAACTTTCACTGTTACAGGATTTGACAGAGAGCACGAATTGAAAGCTGCATATGAATTTGAAGAACGGGGGGCATTGACGAGGTGCATAGAAATTCTTCCAAAACAAACAGAAAAATAGATCAACGGACAATGAGAAACAAAGAACTACGGACATGAATGATGAAACCATGCAACTTTAAGTATTAGTCAGACACTTGTACTACTCGCCCGAAACACTTATACTGCATTTATACACAACACAAGTAAGTCAACCGAAATATCCAGAACAAAATCAGGCACAATCCAATAACAATATAAGCTCACAACTAAATACTGACTCCATAAGAATCCATTTTCCTTCAAATTTGTGTTCCTCTGAGAATGGACTTAAAACGAACTTCTAATTGAAGTAAAAAAAAGTCAATTAACAAATCCGTTTTATACTCATTTCTTTGAAGATAACAGTACTAGTCCAATTTCATTCCATCACTGGAATCGCAAAGGAATAAGAGAAAAGATGGCTATAACCGTCCCTGAGAAATCGGTATAACTGGATTGAAAAAGTAATGAAGATAAAATAGGAAAAAGAAAAGTGCGGCGAAGACGAATTCTCACTTGGACCTTGAGAAAGAGGTTCGGGAGCGGAATAAGGCGTGGAAGGGAGGAGCGAGGAGAGGAATGGAGCGCGGATCGGAAACCCTACCACTGTGGAGGGCGAAGGAGGGAGCGAGAAAAGCATTGGTGAGAGCCATGAGAGTGGAAGTTGGTGCGTGTATTACGTTATTATGGAGCTCAAAGTAACAAAGCAAACCAAAGATTTTGTTTTTTTATTGCTTCTCACTTCTCGCTTCTCACTACTGAAATTACAATATAGTGAGAGCAGTTGGTACGTGCTCATTGCTGACGCGAGTTTGAGAGGGACCGTTCGTCGGATCCAACGGAACCATATGTATTATTGGAAAATAGATCCTTGACTTTGGAGGGAAAAGTTCGGGTAACTTTACATATTTAAATCATTAGATTTGTAATAGTAGATCAGATTGTGACACGTGTATATTTAAGTTAAAATATATTTTGTACACGTGTCACAATCTGATCTATTATTACAAATTCAACGATTGAGATGTGTTAAGTTACCATAACTTTAATATCTCAAAGTCAGAGGATCCGGATCTATTATTATTCCTTCACCATTAACCAATGCTTTTTTTTAAATTATAACTATCTTTTCAATATATTTTTTTTTTATTTCCAAGGGTTAATTGATTGAGAAAATTGTATTATTGTTTGGTAAATTATTGTGATGTCCATTTTAGTATCCATCTTTTATTCACCCGTAGATATTTATCGGTAGGGAAAAAGGCACTGATGGTGGGTAATTATATATTAGTGAATTATTAATCCGGAAGTGAGGTAATTTGTATAATAATTTAAGAGTGATTAAAAGGATTAAAAAAATATTATTTTTATTAAAGTTATATATTATCGGTTTCATTGGAAAATATTCACGGATACGAATATTTTTACCTTCTCTGACGAAAATCTCCGAGTTATGTTATGAATCATAATATGTATTTACAATAATTAAAATTCGACAACTACTTGTTAACATATACTTACTGATCTTAATAAAAGCAAAATGCAATAGAAGGAAGCTACTATGTGTTTTCTTAGACTTAAAATATATTTTTGTTTTGATTAAAAAATGAAAATCAATTTTCCGTTTTTAAATGTGGATTGATTTAAAAAAATGTTAAGGAGCCATTTGGTTAAAAAAATAAAGAAAATAGATGAAAAATAAAATAAAAAAGAAATAGGTGAATAAAAAATACACGATGATAAACCTATAAAATTGTCAACTTATACAAATGCATCCCTCAACTTAAAAAATATATATTCATAAATATCTAAAAAAAACATTTAACCCCCTTAATTTTTTATATCTCAACTCACACATTTGATTTTTTACTCGTTACAAATAAATATTCTAAATTCTTATATTTTATGCTTCTTAATTTTATATATTTGAATCATACCAATAAAAAAAAATTGAATCCATTAAAATTTCGTTGACTCTGGATCCTAAATCTACAAAATATATAAGAAATAAAATAAAAATTAGGTTACCTAACTTAAGAGAAATTGAATATATGTATATATAACTATTTTTATAGTAAAAAATTATTACTATACAACTATGTTTCAATCAATTATACTTTTTAAGTCGATTTACATGATTTTTTTTAATAAAATAAATTAATTGCGGTTGTTTTATGGAGAAAAAAAACCATATTGTACGTTTTATAACAATTTTAAATAATAAAAAAAATCACATAATGCATTGATGATAACTTTCTAATAACATTTTTACTAGAGTCGTCAGAATGAACCGTAACCCGTAAGCTAATTCGATCCACCTTAAAAATGGGTTGGGTCGAGTTAAAATAAATAAAAAAAATTATAGTAAGTGGGTATATTTGAACTCGACCCACTTTCACCCGTCTACCCAGATTGAACCCGTGATAGGCCGAGCAACCTACCAGCCCACTTTTTTTTTAAATTGAAATTTTGATTATGAATTATAGTTAATTGTGTATAATGAGATATTGAAATTTTTTATTTTGGACTTTCATCATAGTTTGTATTTAATTTTGTATGATAAGTTATGACTTATGACTATTAATGATACCAAATTTATGATTATTATGTTAATTTATAATTAATTCTAAATTTTAAATTTTGTTGATAATTTTTTAAATTTTTTTTGTTGGTTTGGTAGGTTAACCCGTATAACCCACCAACCCATAGTGGGCCGGGCCAGGAAAATCTTAAGAAAATTAACAACAGATTGAACCAAATTGACCCATTTTTAAAGTAAGTCAAAGTAAATTAGTTCATACAAACCAAACTACTCATTTTAACAACTATAACTTTCACGCATTTTAGCAGAAAAATAAATAATAAAAAGTAATTGAAAAATCTCTTTACAACCAAACAAATTTTTATTATTATTTTTTATCTATTTTTCTCCATATACTCGATTTCTTTGCCATTTCACTCATATCAAACAGGACTTCAAGGGTGGGTATAGTTATTTGATTATAGCGTAGAAAGAAGCAGGGAGGGAAAAAATAAAAAGAAAAAAGAAGGATGAGATAAGAAGAATAAAAAAAGTACAAATATTTAATAAATTTAATGGATATTCTTCAATTATTTTCTGCAAAATTATAAATAAAAATTAATAATTTCTATAAATTAATATTTTACTTTTATAAAAAAAAATTATTAAAAAAATGTAATTATTTATTAATTTTTTCTTAAAAATACAAATTTTAAAATATTTATTTGACTGCATTAATATTTTATGATATACAAAAGATTAAAAGAAACATATTCATGAATGGTTAAAAAAGTTAGTAATGAGAACATTGAATAATTTTAACACAAGTAAATAGTCACCTATTGTATATTGTTCAAATTAGTCCCTAATTCTAATATAATTTTAAAAAAAATCAAAATTGTAATTTGTTACTTATTTGAATATTTCCATTAAATAAGTTTCATTTCCTTGAACAAAAATGTCTAGTACATAATAGTGTCACATGGTATACACATAGTTTATATATGAAGTGACTTGGGTGGGTCTAGTGACATATATATACCACGCAACATAAAACTATAATACTTTTATTTTATTTTTTAAAAGTGTAACATAATATTATTGTAAGCCTTGAAATTGTAACATAATGACACTTTGGTCCCTTAGAAATTTAATTCAATGTTACTATAGTCTCCAAACGATATTATAATTATATTTTAATAAAGTAATTATGACTTTGATATTTTTACAATAAATTAGATAGTTAAGTTAATATTGTAAATATGATGATAAATATATTCAAATTATATTAAAGAGAATGAAATTGTTTACTCTATGAGTAAGTTTACCTAGACTTATTCCGTTTAATAACTCATGTTTTACATCAAATTTTAACGATTCAATTATCGAACTTAAAGTTCTTAATGCATATATCAAATATGTAAATTTAAAAAAAACAAATAAAAATCATTTGGTATTTCATTTTATTAATATTTGGAGATAGTAATACCCCTCCTAACGTTGTGGCCAAAGTGACTAGTGCTTTTAATGGCCTTATGTTGTATAGGAGTAGGAGTGTAAAAAGGTTGGGTTAGATTATGTTTAAATGAATTTGTTTTTCGATCCGATCAAACTTCAACGAGTTAGGTTTAGTCGAGTTCGTGTATTATTTTTATTTTTTAGAATTCAATCAAACTCAACCGGATCATGAACTTGTTTGATAGGATTGGGTTAATTGAGTTAACATGATAAAAAAATTATTTTAAATTTTTTTAAAAATAATTTACAATAGATGTAAATCATTTGTATATTGTTATCAATCAATAAAATAAATAATGATACAAATTAAAATTTAAAATATATTTGTTGATTTGTCACGTTATTGACTAAAACAATCAATATCAATACAAAATGAAATCTTAAATAAATATGATATTGTTATAATGTTATCAACTAAAAAGTACAATACTTATTAATGAACAAGAGCAACAAGGTATATTATTCTAGATAAATGATCACACTAACTTTTTATTATCATATATAGAGAGAGAGATAGACATATACACACACAAAATTCATTATTTGACTTGTATAGTACCGAATTTTAATTGGACTATATTGAGTATGACTCAAACATTGAAAACAATTAATTCAAACTCATTGGGATGGTGTAGGATAGTTCAGATTTGTGAGTTACTTGTACTTGCTTATACCCCAATTTAGAAGCCTTTTCAAAACTCTTAGACTTTTTCACCAAACTTGGGCAATGCTCCATTTCGAAGATAGAGTTGTGGTTCATTTGGCATGGTTTCACTATAGCTTGGAATAGAGAGGAATTTGTAACTCAGACAAATGTAACTATCTTACTATATAATTAGATTTCTCAATCATGGTTGTCTCACTTTCATATTTGTGCTTACCTAGTATCTAATATACAACTTATTCATTCAAGTGTTTGTCGTATTTGTTGGATTTATGTCTTAAAAAAAGTTAATCAATTTATTGATTATTTCGATAAATTTATGGTGTGTTTTGATAAAGAATTTAAAAAATTTAAGAAATTTTAAATTCTTAAAACTTGTATTATTTATATTTCAATTTTCATCATTCTTCAGATGTTTTGTCTGGATAGATTAATTCAAATTTCTTTAATTTTAAAATCTTTGTTTGAATATGATAATTTGATTTTCATTATGAGTAAAGTTGATTATATATATATTAAGATTAAGTTTTATAAAAATAAATATTATCAAATTTTAAATAATAAATAATTTTAA